AAAAGGGAGAAGGTTTCCACTCGATGTGTCCCTTCACATCGATGTTTCCCTCTCTCTCTCTTCCTCTCTCTCCCTCCCACTCTATCTGTACAAAAAAAAAAGGAAAAATGTCCTCGGGTGAGGATTAAAAAAAAAAAGGAAAAGGTTTAACTAAAGAAAAAAAAGGAGGGTGGTGGGGAGAAAACTATATTCTTCAAAAATGTAGTGAAGAAACAGTGAGGACCTGTGGAAATGTTTCAGATTAAAAGAAACTAAAATACATAAATATATATAAACTGATACATATAGGTTACCCTCAAACATTTCATAAAAACTCAAGGGAACACACAATTGAGGAAGAAAATAAGGTAAAATTTCAATAATAGGTCAATTGGGAAAAAGTATCCCTATGGGTTTCTTTTGTACCATTCTTATTCTTAAAATTGTCTCCAAATTAAAAAATATGTTTTAATGATTTGAGGGGAGGAGACTGACTAGAGGGACACAGGGAAGGTTTGGAGATGATGGAAATGTTCTATATCATGATTATGCTAATGCTCACACAACTGTCACATTTGTCAAAACACGTCAAATTGCACACTTAAAATTGGTGACTTTTATTGTATTAAATCATACCTCAATGCACCTTATTTGAAAAGGTACAAAGGGTAAAACTCCATTAACTGAAAGACTGTGTATTTGTTTGAAGGCAGAAAGAAGAGAGAAGTCTGACATTTGTCTTACCAGAGGCTCTGGGGACTACTGTGTCATGGGTGTAAGCAGGCTCTCTGGTGAGGTTGGTTTATTCCAGCCAAGATGGGCTTAAGCCACAGATAAAGTCTCATGGTCTCCCTTTCTGAAGCATATGGCAAAACAACTAAGCATTTTTACATTACTTCGCAGTGAACATAATAGTCACATAAATGGTTAAGATAAAACACCAAAACCTAATGAAATCTGCCCCTGAGGGGTCCTTCACATTATCCCAGATCCTGAGAACACCACTTACTGTCCTCAAAGTGTCCCTTGGTAGGCAGGGAGACGTTTGTGAGTGTCCTGAACAAGCTGTGCAGGTGGGTGGGTGGCATCAGCACCCTCCCCTCCCCTCCCTTCCCCAACTTTCAAGGCCCTCCTCAGAGGACCCCTCCCTCCCCCTTCACACCTGGTAGTCTCTCTCAAGCCTTTATGACCACCTTCCTCTTAACAGTTACCTGTGGGAAAACAACTCCAACTCAACTTGGAAATGATCCTCAGCTCGAGCACCATGCCCGGCACTTTGGAAAAGCACTGAAACTAAGCCAAGAGGAAGGAAGGTGGGCACACTTACTATTTCCTTCCTCTTCCTCTTCCTCTTCCTCTTCACAGAGCCAGAATATTCTGCCACCTGCTGAGAAACCCTTACTGTGTACACCATCTCCCCTAAGACATGTCCAGCCGAGAAAGGCGGCGGCTCTAAAACGGGATTCTGTCATAGCCAACGCAACAAAACTTCCTGGGACCCCTATTTCAACCATGGTGCGAGGAGGAAGAGACCTGCCTGCAATGAGCTGAAGGCTCAGACACATAGTAAGGGGGGCTCAGAGCAAGACCTCTCTGTCAAAGGACTCCCAGGACTGTTTAGACAGACTGCTATGCTATCTACACCCGATCAACTAAAATGGAAAGGGACACCGACTCGGCGCTTAAAAATGCAAAGGAGCAATGACAGCGGATGCTTACCAGGTGCTCACGCCGGACAAAGCCGAGAGAAGTTAGTCCACAGCTAAGAAAGGGGAGCCAGGGTCTGAACACAAGCAGTGTGGCCTCCGAACCTCCACTTTCAACTCCTATACTGACACAAGTTCAATTCCAATTCCCCAGTGAACGCTCCTTCCAGGCGGTTCCAACGTGAGGTCTGCACCCAAAATTAAGACTCAACCCGATGAACAACTCTTCAGTAAGCCTCACTTAATACTAAGAGTCAACAAAAGATCACATTTCTCCCCATTGAATTTCTATGGTCCAGACACTTCCCTCTTACACTGCCGAGTACTCATCGGGGTGCTTATCAGAACTCCTTTTCGCCCTACTTTCATCTGAGGAACTGACAAGGATTTTATGTTCTTTCTACTAAAGTCGAGCATCTTTATTTCCGACCTCCTTCCTCTGAGAGAGCATCTCGCTGACATCTTGCAATTACTAGGCCTAACCAGACAACAGCTTTTATCTTTCCTCCGGACACTGACCCACACTTCTATTAAACACAAACAGGATATGGACCAAACCATCAGATGCACTTCAGAGACATCCTCTGATCGTGGTGCACAAGCAGGCCTTCTTGTGGATGAGTTGGTGGCTGTGCAGGTCAGTCCATGCTCCAGGCAGGATCCTAAACTCCCAAAGTGGGGCTTTCACCTGAGGCATCTGAGCAGTAGATCATCTAAACCTCACACTCCAGACTCGGGTGGATGGACTTTGCACTGGAACTGCCTGACTTCAGACAAAACAGCAGAGCCTCTTCCCTGCCTTCTGTATTTTTTGAGTCATTGATTCTGCCTTTACTTTGAGAGAAAAAATGGAAGTGTGCCCTACTCCCTTAAAGACTGAAAGAAATCAGAATTTTGAAGTCCATCTTTTGGGGGTTCTAGACAGCTCCACGTGGTTTGAAAACTATTTCTAGCAGTTTCTGAGTGACTGGCCCTGACTCAAGGAGGTAGTCACAGCTGGGCCTAATGAAAATGGGGGTCCTGCCCTGGCCGGTTTGGCTCAGCGGTTAGAGCGTCGGCCTGCGGTCCGGAGAGACCCGGGTTCGGTTCCCGCTAAGGGCATGTACCTCGGTTGCAGTTTGTCCCCGGCCCTGGTTGGTCGTGCGGGTGGCAGCCACTCGATGTGTTCCTTTCACATCGATGTTTCCCTCTCTCTCTCTCTTCCTCTCTCTCCTTCCCACTCTATCTGTGCAAAAAAATGGAAAAATGTCCTCAGGTGAGGATTAAAAAAAAAAGAAAATGGGGGTCCTGGGAGGTCAGGCAGTCCTGTCTCGAGGGGACAGGAACAGGGTTGGGGCAAGGGCCTGGGGAGATGAAGGATTCTAGTCACCAGGATTAAATTTGACTTCCAGGGTAAACAATTTATCTGCAAACATTCCTCCCCTGGTTTGAGTGTAAATGCAAGCATTTTACTTCAAACAATTAGGCTTACTGCCGACACAGGAGAGTGCTTCGTTTTTCATACAAAGAGCCAGCGTTTGCCAAGCTGCTAGTATAGTCCAGCCATTGTACTTCATACACTGACAAATCAAAATATATCCAAATGGAAGAGGGTTCAGTCCGTCCTTGACAAGAAAAAGTATGCAGCTAAGCCAGCCTGCCCCTATCATCTCTGGGGCCTGGGGCCAGAGTACAAATGGAGGCCTTCATAATTACTACGTTAAAGTGCTAAGCAGGCTAGCAAACTGTCACATAATTCTCCACCCTTGACAAATCTGGCTTTACAACCACCTGGAGTCCAGGTACAATTTAGTATTCTCAGAGCCCTGCAGAGTTCCAGGCCAGACTTGAAAAAGCAGCGCTGGCCAATGATCAGATACCTTTCCTCCCCACCCAGGCTCCATCTCTCCCCAGGGAAGCCTCTGGGGCATACCTGGGGACCCTCAGCTCCCATTTGCAAGCTCTTCCACAACCCCTCACAGCTGCCCCTTTGGGCACCCCTCAAGGATGGAGTCTGCTAGCAAAGTCCCTGAAAGCAAGCTTGGGGAATTTGGGCAGGGAATTCCACCCATGCCTGGGGCCTGAAGGTCAGCAAGGACTCTGGGTGGGTAGCCCACTTCACCTGCAGACACTTAGCTCAGTGGGAAGGGACACTGGGGAAGGTCAGATCCTGCCCGGGTAAGCATGGGAAACACATGTAAGGGCTTTTCATGCCCAGGTCCAGGGCAGCACTGACTAAAAGCCTTCTCTATTTTATTTTAAGCAGATCAACTTTTCTTTCCTTAACACTTTCTGGGAGAGAGACTCCTTGTATCAAAGTCAAACAAAACAAAACAAAACAAAACCAGGTATAAGAAAAAAACAAATAAACAAACAAACAAAAAGAACAGGTATAAGAGAGAATTCCTGTCTGGAAGGAATGAAAGAAAAGTTGAAACCTCCAAAGCTGCTCTAGAGCGATTCCACAGTTGATATGCTGGTCTGAAAGAAAGACAAGGTAAATTTTCCTTAAACAGCTAACGGATTGAACGGTGTTCTAGAAAGTCAGAAAGGTGGGGTCCTTGTCCTAGGGCATAAATCAGGCAAACCTTAAACGTTTCTTTGTTTTTGAAAAAGTGCCCTATCTAGAGCAGGGAGATCAAAAGAACCAGATGAAGAACTAGCCCAAGCACCTGAGACCACAAAGTCAAAACCCTAGGAACCACCTCCTTGAGTCAAATGGGCAAGGGAGTTTTGGGCACGCAGACTGAGGGTGTCATAGTGCCAGGAGTGGCCAGGACCTGGGCTTCACCCCCACGGTTGACCTGGTTTCTGCTTCACCTTTTCTTGGTCAAGTTCGCCAACTTTCTGGGTCTCCATTTTTAATTCTCTAAAATGGAGATATTACCAGCCTGCATCACTTGGCCGTGATGCCCATGAGAACTTAGCACAGGCTGGCACTTGGTAAGCGCCCAGTCAACGGTATTTACTTAGAACTGAGAGAGCAGGTGCCCGAGCTACAGCTGAACCCAAGTTGTGGATCAAGCAGTTCCCCACCACCCACCGACCGAACATCCAAGATGGGGTTCTGCAGAATATGTGTGCGCTGGGGGAGGGGGATTGGGGAGGTCGAGGCTTTAGGGACAGAGGTAAACCAGAAGAGCTGGAGAAAGGCACACATAGGTCAAGTGTTCCGTCTCAACCCTGTTTTGGGGTAGTCAGTTGGAGATGCAAAGGAGAGGCGTCTAAAATATCTGTAAGTCCCCAGGATGGGAGGAAGCCTCATTGCACCCTGCTCGGCTCGAAGTCGGGCGGGGATCCGGGACAGGGAAGCGGCAGGAGGAAGGTGTCACTCACCCAGCAGCAGTAGCTTGAGCTCCCGGCGCGCGTCCTTCTTGTCCCGGCGAAGCTGCCGCTCGATCTCTGCGCTGATGCGCTGCGACTCCTTCTCCTCCGCCGACAGGCAGCAGCAGCCGGCCATGGTGCACGCAGCCACCGACGGGGCGAAGCGGTCCGGAGCGCCCCGATCCTCCGCCCCGCGGCTCGCTGGGCCGACCCGAGACGGGCGCCCGAGTTCGGAGAGAAAAGGCGGGGACCGACTTGAGTTTCGGAATAAGAAGCCTGGACCTCCGGGGTTCAATCCCTCCACGCGTGTGGGCTCCGAGGCGGAGGTGAGTCCCGAGCACTGGGACTGAGCAAGCGCCTGGGATCTGCGCTTACGCAGCCCCCCTCGCTCCGGAGAGAAGAAAGCGAGCAGAGCTCAGTTGGGAGCTTTGCCGGCCCCCCGGAAAATGCGCGCCCCTTTGCACGGAACCGGACACCCAGTCAGGGGGCGCAGACTGCACGTAAAAGTTGGGACGTCGGTGCCCGGAGGAGGGTGGACTCTCCCAGGCCTCGGGGTATCCCAGGCAGGCTTCAGGCGCGGCGTCGGTTAGAGGCAAGAGCCCTGGCTGGCCCCGGCCTGCAGAGTTCGGAAAACCTCAGCAGTGACCGCAGACTAAGACCAAGTGTGTTGCTGGAGCTTATGGTCTACGTGCCAGAGGAGGAGGAGCGTCTCGAACCTGCAACCCTGGCGTCTGCCGGAGTTGGCCTTGGGGCACGCCAAGCCGGTGGCGTCCGTGGGCAAAGGGAGCGACCCGGGAGCTGGGATGCGGAGCCGGGGGCCTAGAGTAATCGGGAGCAGCCCCCACACCTGCCTCCCTGGCTGTGACGTCCTGGCGTGGGGAGGGCCGCCTGCTGAGGTTGCTGTGACCAGTGCGCTCTGGCCGCCGGGTCCTGCTCCCTGCCCAGATCCGGGTTCCGACAGGTGAGGGAGTTTCACCAACTCCCAACCTCAACTCCTCCCAGCTGCAAGAGGAGTGGAGGAAGCCAAGCGTCCGCCGCGGGACACAGCGTGTCAGGGACGAGGCTGCTACCCTGACCTGACGTGGAGGCTCGAACACCAGCCTCACCACACCACACCACACGCCCTGGTTTCCTAAACCGGCTCCTTCAGCTTCCCGGATGCCCTAGCCCCGCTCGGGCTTGGTCAGAGCCCTTGATCAGCTTGGCCGCCTGCCTGCAAGGTGCGGCCAGTCCTGAGCCCTCTGGCGCGGCGCTCAGAGAAGCAGTTGCCACTGGCTTCAGTTAAATAAGAGCAATCCGAGAGCGGAGAGTAAATATCCTCCCAGCCCCTTCCTACACCACCGGACGAGGAGGGCTGGGGATGGGGGGGGGGGGGGGATGGAAAACAGCTGGCTACTTTGCATTTTATATCGGGAAAGACTCCTACTTTGTAGAGAGAGCAGTTTCCAGCAACACCTGGCATGTTCCCTGCCCCAGCCCTGAAGCCTGACAGCGCCTGGCAAAGGTGTTTCCGCACAGCCACGTTGGCGCGGCTCCTGGAACGTCTGCAGCATGTTTGAGCTGTACTGATAACATCTTAAAAATTGAAAAGCACCTTTTTGTACTCAAATGGCACTATAGAATGCAGATTACAATATCTGATTTTGTCTTCTGTGTAGATTTTGAGGCAGAGCGCAGAGGTTCATGGGAAAAGCAGAGAAGGGAAGGTGGAGGGAGGGGATCCTGTTGTCCACAGCAATGAATGTTTTTTCCTTCTCTTTTTCAAGTCAGCATATGCCGTTCAAACCACTTCATGGCCTTAGGTAATTAGCTAATGCTTCCTCTGTTATGAGCAAGCGGCACTACCTTTCATATGAGTAGCATACATTTAATCAATTCAAACCGAGAAGCATGTAACCAAGAAGCATATTGAGTGGAGAAAGAGGTATGTGTCATTATGTAAAGAACTTGGCATTATGATGCTATCTGGCTGCAGGTCCTATTTATTTTACAATTTAGAGAATGTTGACAAATCAGGTATTAAAACTGAATGTGCGTTATTAAATGCATGACTTGATTTTCACCTCCTTGCAGGCATGAATCGACAGTAACAGTGACCCCTACAGGAAAACGCCTGGACCTTTCCCATTTGGTCCTTGGCCATTTAGTCATACCTTTCTCCCTTAACTACAGATTCATTTACATTTTGAGAAAAAGATCTCTTATTTCCTCAAACTAATAGTTGCATCATAATTATTAGTATCTTTAAATAATTAAAATAGGGCAAATTTGAACTCCACATTATTTGGAATAACTGGTCCAAAGCTGCTAAGATTTAAAAACAGATATGAAACATATTGCTTATGGTAAATCCATGAAACTTTCCTGGACCGATCAACCTAGTAGTATGTATCAGAAGCCTTAAATGTGTCCATCCCTTTTGACCAAACTGTTATTTCTCCCTTTAATAAATAATAAAAGAACCCTGGCCTTCTGTGGACAGAAGGGTTTAGGGTTCAATTCTCGGTCAAGGATACTACCTGGGTTGCAGGTTTGATCCTGGGCCAGATCGTGGTGCATGTGGGAGGCAACCAATGATGTGTCTCTCTCATATCGATGTTTCTCTCTCTCTCTCCTTCCCTTCCACTTTATCTAAAAATCAATGAAAAAATATCCTCAGGTGAGGATTAACAAAAAATAAATAGAGAAAAACCATGATTTAGGTGCAAAGTTTTTATTTCTAATAACAACAACAATAATGCAAAACAATTTAAATGCCCAACTACAAGGAATAGTCAAATACATTACGGTATACCCATACAATGAGATATTATATAGTCACTGACTGTGAATATGTGAGTGAAAATTTGTAAATAACAATGAAAGATTTGGGGGCATACCTCAAACTGTATTTAGGGAAAAAGGCACAATACAAAAATATAAACAGCATGATACAAATTATGTTATGGAAACACACACATTTTTATGAGACTAGAGGTATATATACTAACAAGATAAGTTGCTCTGAGTCATAGCTTTATGGTTGGTTTTAATTCCCTGATACAAAATTATTCGGGGCAGCTCTATTAAAGTCATATGAGCCCCACTTCCCTCAACTGTAAAATGAGAGGGATGAACCAGATTAAGCTCAAAGGGATCTCCCAACTGTAACATTCCATTCTTTCTTTGATGATTTTTCACACTTATATGATAGTATTTAAAATAATCATAAACCTGTTATTGAGCATCGGTAGCTAGTGAGAACTATAAAACTAGGATATCACAAGTCAATTATTTTTATACTACTATTTTTTATTCGTGTCTCTAATTTTCTTATTTTCAGGATCTGGAGGCAGGATGAAAATAATTTTAAGTTATTAATTCATTTGCAACATCTTACCAGGAAGAAGTAGTTTTGAAAAAGGTCTTAGTGAAAGAAAATGTTTGTTTTCCTAGGTTATTCCCAAAGTGCTACAATTCCATTTCATTCATCTTGGAGATCAGAGCACAGCCTGGACATGTGTTTCAGATCCCTGCCAAGTGCCGGGCCACAAAGGTGAACTAATTGTCCGATACTCCTCTGAATGCCCTTTGAGTCCCTGCCAGGCCCTGTATGAGGCACTGGGGATTTAGATAGTAAGACCTTCTAGTCTCTCATCTAGTAGAAAGAAGTAAGACTGAGACCCTGAAATCTGAACCCACCCTTCTTGCTTCCTCCCAGAGAACAGACAGCGAGAGCTCCAAGTCACCTGGGTGGCCCTCCACAGCCTACCTGTGTGCACAAGGGGCCCTTCAGCTGAGCCTCATTTCCTGTCACTCTGCTGCAACTTGAGACAAATGTAACTACCTGTTCTCCCCCTCTCTGTATCTTGGCATTTACTGTTCCCTCTTCCAAGAATGCCATCTCTCACCTCAGGCAAAGTTAGTTAGGTACTTTCTTTCCCAAACACATCTCTGAGAAACCATCTCCACCCCTTGTCAGTTACACCCATCTTTCTCTGCTGCCTGAGCACTTTCTGTGTTCCTCTCTCTAACTTCTCGCTGTCTCGCCCGTCTGTTTCCTCGCCTGAGCCATTGCTTACTCACAGCTGGAGACATTTTTTCTTGGTTATCCTGATATTCCTAAATTAATAAAATGTAATTGACTGAACAAAATTGAAAACAAGAAGAATTAGCCAGAGATAAGAGAAAGAAACTAGAAGAGAGAAAAGGAGGTTCTCGTGGTGGAAAAGAATGAAAAACCAAGTTCACAACAAATCAGTGCATGATTTAGGAAAGACTTGTGTCCCCAGTTTGCCCCCTTAGAGGAAGTGATTGCCCTGTTTCTAACTCAGAACTCCCCAAAAATGTGCAAGTAGAGGGCTGGAAAGATGCTGTTCTCTTTGACAAATGTACCATCTTAGAACTTTAACAAGTCACACAAGGTAAAAATATGACCTTGAACTTTACAAAGCTAAACTGGTAGTAATACTAAGGCACCTATGCTTCTCTGTGGCAGTGGTTTTCAATTGCAGTTGGGACTCATTCCTGGGTTGTGACAATCTTTTTTTTTTTTTTTTTTGAAAGAATAGAATAGAAATAGAAAATATCAAAGTGTGCTGCATGTGTTATTGTTTCATGAAACTTTTGTTTTGGTTGTATACATGAGTATCAAGTCTTAAGCAGATCAATCATTGTTGGAGATTTGCTTATCTTTATCCCAAGTAGGTTAGACTAAATGATTCTCAATTTTCTAATCCATTTTTCTAAAAACCAACACGTTCCCAATTTTTCGTTCAAAGTTCTCGGCTTATTGTGTTCTCTATAATGTTTTGAGTCCTTTTCCCCTGTCACCACTCCCAGCCGTTCTCCACCCAGTCATCTCTGGTTTGGGATGAGTGTAGTAAGTTAGAGACATCTGTCTATTGTCTGCCTATTGTGGACTTTGGATGAGTTGACAGAGTAGTGATGGATGTTTAGATGAATGGGTAATAATTGTAGCTGGTGGATACATGAATCTATTTTTCTAGGGCAGTCAACATCTTAACATGTTGCTTCAAAATGTTCTCTGCCTGAAGACCAGAAACTGTCTATTGTATAACTTCTACTGAAAAGACTAGAATTACATAACATCTAGGTCAATGGCAGACCACATACATGATGGTGGTCCCATAAGATTATAATGGAGCTGAATCTCCTCTAAGAAATGGAAGGATATGTGGTTCTGGAGGAATTTATTTCTCTGACGAGAGCAACATATGGGGCTGGGCACTAGATGCCCTCTCACTCACGGCACCTCAATTCTGAGTGCACAGATTGCATCCCCATCAGCCACTGACCTGTTTCGGCACAGGGGAGCCTGTCTCCCAGCCCTACATATGCAGAAGGCACTGCAGCCCTCCCAGATCTAGCCTGATGGTCTTCAGAGGACATTGCTGTAAATGCTCTGATTCGGACCTGAGAGCCTCATCAAGCACGCAGGTCCACAGAAGCTACCTGAACAAGTGTCAAGGGCCACTGCCACTTTAATAAAAGCTTTTTGTGGTAGTGTGGAGCCAGCCTGTCTCTGTACTTTGGACATATGTTCAGGTTGTAATGATGTAAAATATCGATGTTTTATTTCTTCCATCAATTCAATGCCAAAGAGAGCCCTTTGTGCCAGACAGGGTCATTGGACCCAAAACCAAATTTCCAGAGTCAAAATGTT